CAAATCCCAGGCTGCATAAAAGCAAGTTTTGCTAAATGTTTTATTTTATACTTTTGTATCATTTCAGATGCTTGCAATATCTGCAGCATGCTGAAAATACTGGTGCTGATGAAAGTGCCGATGAATAGTATAATACAATATAATAGTATAAATATCGTTTGAAATACTAAAATAAAGAAAGATTGCAAAAGAAGAAGGTTTACAATTTTTTAATATTTATAAAATTTTTTAACAATATTTTATTAATAATAACATCTATATTTCTCGTTGAAATTGCATCATTTTGAAAAGTTATTTTAGGAAAATTAAAATAGAAGTCAAAATAATTATTTTCAAATCTAATTTGTTAGTACCACCCCGGCTGAAACTAATATTTTTATATGAATGTCTAACAGCATTTTTTATACAGCTTTCTCAGAAAATCATCAAATGTTTCCTCTTTTAATCAACCAAAACGATATATGATTGGTTGATGATATCAATGTTTTTTTCAATGTATTTAAAAGAAGCATAAATCACATATGAAATTAACTTATTATTATTATAGAAGAAGAAAAATTACTTCATTAAAATTTTATAAATCATTAATATTTCCCACATTATATATTTATTTCTTCTAATAAATATTTGTCAGCAATAACAGTTAAAGTATAGATTAGTTCGTTGAAGTAATTTGTAATTTGTAAGCGATACTTTAAAACAATTCAACGTTTAATTAAAATATTTTAAAACTGAAACAAACCTGCCGCTCGGATAATTGTAAACTTTCAGAAATTTCCTGTCGCCTTTTACGCGTTAAATATTTATTATAATGAAATTCCTTTTCAAGTTCTAACGTTTGATTTCTACTATATGTTTGTCGCGTCCTTTTTGATTCACCGCCTTTGCCACCTGAAACACGTGAACAAAGGTCAATGATCATTTTTCCTTTTCAATTCATTGTTGTAAAATTATTTTATACAATATATTATTATTAGCATGATAATAAGAAATGATAAGAATTCATGAGGATATAAAGTTTATAAAGTGACCTAATATAATCCAATATAAATCATGAAGAATAGCGTTAGCGCATGCAAGGTCAAAAAACGACAATGTTATTTAGATCGTTCAATGATTTTTGTTTTACATTTTTAATTTTAACAATTCATTTTTATCTTTTCATTTAATTAACAAAGTTTCTTAATTGCAAATCTTTTTTTTTGTTTTTATTTCACCAATCTTGTTGTATATTTTATAATGAAAACAAAATATCTTTTTTGCAGTTCCTCGGTGATTTTCATAGTTCCATCACAAATTACAAATTTTCTAATATCAAAAAAAGAAAGAACCCCGCTGGAACTAAAATAGTTTTTATAAAACTAACCGTAACCAATAATATATAAATAATATATAAAGGTATATAGTTATAAAGGTATATGATATATAAAGGTATATAGTTAGTGTACATGTAATGATAATTTCTTTTTTCTTCTATTTCTTTCATAAAGAAGTTTTTCAAAAAAAAACTTTCTGTGCTTTCTAACCACTATCATTAGTTCAGTTTCGTGAAAGAGGGAATGAATGAGCGGCTTCGGCCTTTGAAGTGGAGCGGTGAAACTGTCAAAGCAATTTTCAAAATATGTGTTGATTTATATTAGTAGGAGTGATAAACCACTGGAGAAGTGGAATGAAATGGTTGGTGCTTTTGCAAAAAAAGAAAACGAATTTTTTGTTTAGGCCTTCTTTTTAACTGTTCTTCAATTTCCTTTTTGTTTCACATGAAATTAATGAAAATTTTGAAATTTCAAAACTTTTGAAAAATTTATCCGAAAATACGATTACTATAAAAACTAAATTTCTCCTACACTAAATTCAATTAATATGAAATAATTGAATTCTCTTAAAAAAAAAAGGAAATCCTTCCGATACACAATGAAACATGCAAAGTATTGATTAAAGAGTAGTATTTCCAACTTCCATCAAAAGAATTTTACAAATGAAATGAATAGTTAACGAGAAGGAATAGTTAAATTCTTTAGTAGAATTTTATTTGAGATTAAAATTAAAAAGTAATACTTTAAAACTTTATCCTTATGTTATAATAAAATCTTTAATTCGAAATTATATTTATCATTCATTTCTTCTACTAACTATACGAAATCATAGTTAAGACTTTTCATAGATAAAAGATTACTTTTTATGCTATCAGTATTTTTTAAGATGGAGAAAAAAAGAATACACGAAGAGTGAAGTGTGGAAAAATTGTAGAAAAAGAGGGAGAGAGAAGGACGTGTACTCCCCTTTGTTTGATTGGTATCGTAGAAATATTGTCATATTTGGGGATAGTTTGCTTGGCCAGTTGACTAAACGAGCATTGCTTCAGGGGTATAGATGGAAAATAATGAAAGAGCGGTGAAACTTCAAAGAATCTTAAAATGAAATATGATGTTCTCAAGTAACAAAGTATTGTTAAACATGAAAGCGAATGATGAAATTGATGGAAGGATAACAACAACAGTTAATGGTACCTTCGAAAAGAATTTACGCTTGATTTAGAATTTACGCTCGTGTTAAATATGTACATATATATTTTATATAGTATATATAAACACACACACGCAAAATGAACGCACACACGCATGGATTACGGAACATCGTTTTCTTCATCGAAATCAGTCAACGCCACAATCTGCAGCAACAACACTGTCAAAACAAGAAATTGATTATTTTCATTTGTCAACTTTTGCAACTTCCAATGTTAACTTTAAATTTCCTAATAGCATAATGGCTATTATCATTACGGTTATGATATGGAAAGGAAGGGATACTGAGACATGCTTAAAGATTAAATATGCTTAAATGTACTGGTCCAAAAGATTGTTCTCCTGTAATGTGGAGCAAAAATTATTATCTTTATTTGTAAAGTTTCAGGAAAAAAAATGATCATTGTAAATCAGTATTTTCATTCCTTTCTGGTTTCATTGATATTTAAGTGATATATTTTATAAGCATTCATGGCAAGATGATCGGAATGTTGATATAGCTGGTGCTTTTACGACGAATTGTTTCATTTCAAATTTATGTATTTATTTTGATAAACTATATGCAAACTTCATGCTTCAAAGAAAATGGCTGTACATACGATATTTTAATCTCTTGTTAATGATATAACTCGGCACAAAATATACTACGATCGGTGTATTCTCCGGCAGTAATGGTCCAATAGTATAAAATTTTCCATTTAAAGGTTGAGAGGTACCATGGCTTTCAATATTTTTATATGAGATTAAACAAAAGCAATTGATAGAAATGATATTCTTAATTGATAAAATGATAAAAATGTTAAGGTTCTCTCTTCTTATCATTCTTTTTCCTCAAATAGCCCTCGATTTTTTCAACAAATTTCATAAGACATCAGAAAATTTTGCAATTAATTATCGATCAATATTACACATTCACGAATAGCAGCAGCATCAACACACTCATCGATATCACATACTAAACATCCTACCCAATCCTCACATCAAATGAGTTTCATAAGGATGATGCGCAGTACGGCACATCATTGCAATAGTAATGCACACCTGCCCCTTTGCTACAGTATACTATCATCGAATGAAATGGATGCACCGTGATTCGACCTCTACATTATATCATCTCTGTTGGTTCATCCATTTGATATAAATGAATAAGACAATTCCCCGTGTGTTAATGGAAAATAAGAATTTAAATGGATAAGATAATCGTAGCCTTAGTGACAAAAATTAAATTGAAATAAAGAAGGATATCATCTCTCAAGCTTATCATCTTTTTATATTAGCTTTCATCAAGAAAATGCAAAATTAATTGGCCTCAATTACTGAAATCGATTCGAAGAATTATGTAGAAACAGACATGAGATAACTAAATAATGGTAAATCACCACCTTCTGATACGATACGTCTTTATCAAATATTTTTCACAACACTTGCAGTGCATGACCATAAGGAATCATAGAATCTTATTATATCTAGATTAACTGTTAGTGAATCAATGATAAGCTGATTGCATCCAAATTGTTTGTTATTATATTGAAGAGAACTTAATTGCATTAAAACTATTTTGCAATTTGAACAACTATTTAGTAGACATGACAATGATAACATGATAACACTTGTGACACGAAATATTATCATATAGTCTGAAACTTTATTCAAAATTAATGAACGAATGAAACAGTCGTAAGTAGTAAATTAAAGTTGTAACAAGTTGTCACAAGTTAGGAAAGAAACTCGTCTGAGCAATAGTTTTCACAGGCTTGTGTTGAATTGTAAGAAATTTTATAAAATTTATAGTCGCCTCTTCTACTCCTTTGCTTTGTTGATAGCAAATTTTGAAAATTAACGACTTTAACGAATGATAAATTACAACAAATACATGGGAATATTTGTATGATCGGCCATTTTTATAGTATTTACAAATAATTCAATAAATTTTTATGATATGATAATGAAACCTTTCGAAGTTAACTTAATTTTATATAAGTGAAAAATAAATTATCTTAGAAAAATTACTTATAAAAATAATTTTCAACATAGACATCCATTTAAATAAAGAAATTGAATTAGCAAAAATTTGAATATTTTTCCATTTGATAATTTCATCGATGTCAAAAATAATATTTCTGAGGCAAAAATAAAAGTAAGACAAAAGGATATAATGTTAATTATTAATACGAATTAATTATTATAATTATATCTTATCATTTTAATCACCAGTATAAGTATCATCGTATCGTATAATTTTTCATTGCTCATATAAATATATAATGCTAATTATTTTCCTGAATAATTAAGTAGCGATTGGAGTAAATTGTTTTATTACTGATAATAATTTGTTCATATAAATTGATTGTATTAATTGTAATAATTGTTAGTTAGAATTGATAATCTATCTAGGCATTTTTATTTATCAAAATTATTCAAATATTAAAATTTATTTGCTGATAAGATGCTAACTATTGATAGTAGCAAAGGAGGAAGATGAACGATAAAAATGTTTCTAAAGGATAAGGCTATCCGATTCATCTGTGAAGTAGTTGATCCAGCTTACTGATGACAATTGTCTTCTGGGATTGGCGCTATTTTTTGAACTTTCTTTCAAATAAATCACAAACAACAGTCTTTTTTTCCGCCTTCTAGCATCGGTATCCATTCCATTTCAAAAGAATTCCTCACATTTATTCGTTTTAAAAATTTTGCTAAAATTTAAATTTGCTAAATGAAAAGAAGAATCATTGAAGAAAGAAAGTTTCTTCAGATGTTGCATTCAGCTGTTACTTATCAATCTATTGATAATGACGAAAATGATTATGCAATGATCGATAATTATATGAATAATAATCATTGCATTTTAATAAACTTCAAATTACAATTGATAATTTGGGAAAAGTAAAAGATGAAAGAGGTGGAAATGGAAGAAGTTTCTGGCACTAATCAATATGTCGCAAGTTTCTAATGTAACCTATAAATTTGGAACTATTTGTGAAACCATTTCATCCTATCCCGGTAAAATTGATATCTTAAAATCTAATTTTGGAACTTGAAGACTTCATAAGATAGACTAAAGATGGTCAATTTCGTTTGCAATGAATCCATTATCACATAATATCATGCTACAAGTTTTTTAATGTAACCTATAAATATGAAACTATTTGTGAAACCATTTGATCCTATCCCGATAAAATTGATATCTTAAAATCTAATTTTGAAACTTGAAGATTTCATAAGATAGACTAAAGATGGTCAGTTTCTTTTGTAATGAATCCTTTATCACATAATATCCTCAATTTGAATAAATGTAGTTAAGTTTAAAAAGAAGCATTTCACTTTAACTGATATGATTTCAATTATCACTTCATTCTAGTGCCAATAGTATACCAACAATTGATGAGATCGAAAAGAAACATGAAATTTTCAAAATTTCATATCAAATCGATTAGTAAAACTGCAAAAACTATGTGTTGACATCGGCAGAGAGAAACAGAGAGAAAGAGAGAAAGGAAGAGGGAGAGAAGAGAGGAAAAAATAGGAGGAAAAACAATGGTTTGAGCATTTTTCCACCGACGCTGTCACTTCTCTCAGACTCTATCTCTCTCTCTCTTAACGGTGAAATTTCATGAGCTTCATGGAAATACTCCGTTTTTTTTTTTACAATGAATTTTAAAATATTTTATAAACAATACTGATTAATTATTACCTTTCAAATCATTCAATCAATCTATCCCATACTGGCTGGCATAAGGATGAATTTCGAATGACAACATTAATGTATGTGTGAACTAATTAACGAATTTCTGATGTAAATAAAATTATTAAATTAACATTGGTAATTAACCGAAGAAATATTTTGTGTTCAATTCGTCATCAAATACGATCACTTCAAAATTATCCCTCAAAAATTATAATTTGAAAAATACTGTAAAGTCTGATGACATCTGCTACTGGATTAGAAATAGAATGATCCGATATGTTAATCAGATAAAAAACCGAATTCATTCACGGTATTATACTTGTTGTATGTTGTAAATGTGACAAGCTGTTTATCGCCAGATCACTTTTAGACAAACAATATCATTTCTTCGGCTTTTGTCACATCATATAATACTTGTATGTAGTAATATATCATTATCATTTTTTGAGGTGTTGATGTAAAAGTTTCATTGTTATGACTAGTATTGAACCTTAAGATATCAAATATAAGACAGGCCTTGAACTCTTTCGAATAAGGAAAAAGATTTTGATGTCGCCTGTTGAACAGTTGCGCTTATCTTCCTTACATATCCCTTCAATTCACACTCAATGGATTTGCTAAGGCATATATATACACAAACACATACACACATATATATATATACGCACAAACATCTAAGTTTTTCTTTCGTCTTTTTGATGTTTGCCGGTAATTTATTAGCAGGACAAAAGGCATTGCATATCACACCGAAGCACTACACCCACAAAATATCAGCTATTTATTTTTGGAACCAAACAAAATTTTAGCCTTGAAAAAGTTCTCGACATTTAAAATTATTCATCTCTATCTCCTCTACACACGTGTTCTTCTTCATCAAAAGTGCAATTTATGATGGGATAGAGTGAAATTTCATTGATATATCAAATCGAAAGAAATGTCGCATTCATTCAATGATGTACAGAATAATCAACCCTATCAACCCAGTTGTTGCCACCCATGAACCATCCAACTCATTCTAAAAATTTTTTCATTTCCTACACTACAACCATAAACCATAAACCCTAAACAGCACGATGTAAAAAAAAAGTAGGAAAAACAACAATCCTTCCACTTTTTCCTACCAATTTGCACTTTCTCCTTTTTTCTTCTATTTTCTTTCGCTGTACCTCTATTCTTTTGTTTTAACTTAAATGAAAATGAAATGCTTCAATTGCTAGCAAAATAACAATGGAAAAACTCTTACACTATTCCATTTTATATCTCTTCCATTTACAGATAATTTCATTTCAATTAAAAATTGAACATATTATTGCAATAATTATTAGAATAGTAATAATAGTAATATTAATAATAATATTAATTAGTAATAGTAGTAATAACAATAATAATCATCATTTGTGCATATTTGTAATATTTGCTGTCAGGAGATAGCAAAGAGTATGTATTCGCTTAGTAAGCATTTGAAACCAATATGAAGAAATTGTTCTTATCAATCAACCAAATTATTTATAGCTTTAACATGCATTCATTATTCATTTCAAATTGCCATTTCATTTTGTTTTATATTCATTCAATCATTTCAAAAAACTCATTTCTGATTACATCAAAAATCGATCTGTTTCTTTTCCGACGAATTTATGTAAATTCTTCGAAAATTATGTTAAACTATCTCAACCAGAACTATTACTAATAATATGTTTTCTTTGCTTGTAAGACAATATAATTTCTGATTTATATAATTAAATCTTTGTATAATTAGTTTATAATCATTTAAATCATTCCTATTATTATCATATCATACCTTCTTTTGTTCCTATCATTCAATTTTTATAAATTGTTGGTGTTAAAATTTAGTTGCAATCATTACTTATGCAAATCCCATTTCATATATTAGTTATCATCCAATAGGTCAATCTAAAAAGCTTAATTGGATATTGTTACATTTATCCCATCTACTACAAATATTATAAAAGCCATGATGATATACTATTACAAAAATCATGATAATGATAGTGATAATGAAAATAATAGAAATGATTAGAGAAACCAATATCAGACAAAATAAAATGATTTTCCTAGCAGATACCAATCATTTCATTTAATACCGTATCACTTTTGATCATTGCTACTTAGATGAAGACTGTGATATTTTCTGAAGCAAATTCTTATTCACTATGAAATCTTAAGAGTAAATGAGTTAATAATCTTAGGATGAAAGGCTTGAGAAAGAGATAATTATATTTATATTAATAATATTCAAATAAAACTTATTCTACCTAAAGTAAAACAAATTACTTTTACACAGATTAATTTCATTTAAATTAAACAGATAAATTAATATATTCTTGAAATGGATTATTCATTTCCTGCCGTATTTACTTCTAATTTAAATGCTCTCTCTTTTTTTTTTAACATTTTGCAAATTTTCGACTAACCACTCATTTTCATCCATGGAAACACCGGTTGCTTTATTTGCACCGCTCGTTCACCACTTATTACCGGCAAATGCGATGTGGACGCCGGTTGTAAAGCATTATAATTTGGAAATCTGTAAATACCAAATTTGAAATGATAAAATCTTAAATGAAATTTTAATTACAATAATACTTCAAAACGTTATTCTGATCTGGTGGTACCAAAATTATTTGAAAAAAACATTTAAAATAATAGGAAGTGATATGCCAACTTTGTTGTGATGATTTGATCCGAACACGCCGATTAGAAGAAAAAGCCTTTTGTTAAGGGAAAGATTAATGACCAAAACTGCTGCTTCCTCTTCAGTCACTTTTCTGAATAGCAAAAGGTCGGGTGTTTATAGATTGTTTCTTCAATATTTATCTATGAAGTCCTTTCAAGTGTCATGAATTGTTTTTTCCGAAAAACAAAGAATTCAAATAGTTGACCAGAAGTGGAATTTATTCAGCTATGGTTCAGCTAACTTCATTTCTAGTGTTTTATAAATTTCAAAAACAAAAACAAAATAGCCGTCTCTTGTTGGCGAGAATGATCGGTATATTCGAAAATAATGATAATAACCATAACATGAATGAAAGTAGTGGTGGAAGTAATTTGGTACAATTTATGTAGTAAATAGGAATGAAGTAGGAAAGGATTTTTGGATTTGATTGTAGAACATTACGCGGGTTGTTGAATTGAATGGAAATGAGCCCTATTGAATAAACTAAATTGGTGGGAGGGTACCCACAAACTGTGACGACAAATGATGACAATAATAATGGCATCGACGATGATATGATGACAGCTAGATGATGACAATAACAATAACAGCGACAGTAACGCTTTCTTTCCATGTCAAAAATAACGATTAACAATGTGACCTCCTTGATTTCCTATCTTTTCCATTCTCCCTCTTCTTTTTAACCCCCTCCGTTCTTGTTGTATTTTCCTCTGTCCAGTAAACTGGTCAAGTGTACGATCGGTATATGTGTCTGTCTGGGTGTTTGTTTGTATGTATTTTTCAAGAATTGAGAGGGACAAGGAAATGAATGGAGATGATGTGGACGGAGGGAAAGAGTAAAGATGGGTAAAAAAAGAGGCAAAGAGTGGTAGGGAGAGGTGGGAATAAAAGGAAAGAGTACTTTCGGCCATTATCGTAAACGAGTGGTAAACTGAGCAATAAAATGTAGATTATATATGCAATATAAAGATGGGACAATGCCGGATATACTGCACATGTATAGTCTATTAACGATGAATAATCAGTGATGATGGTGAATGGTATGTAATGGTCACTAAACAAAGATGACCTCATGATAACTTATTCTACAATGATCGAATTAACTTTTCATTCTACAAAACAAAATTGTAGTGATTACTGAAAATGACCATCGATTAACCAATCTTTCATTACTGTTTATCTTCTTTGTACTACAATTTATATTCAAGTGTTATTGTTTGTAATAATTTCGAAGATATGAAAGTATATGAAGAAAATAAGCAAATGTGATAAGAAAGTATTGGAGAGTATCTTTTTATGACATACCACAAAATAGTGTATATATTGTAGAATGTTGAAGAAAGATGAGTATCATAAAAATGATTGTAATGATGTAACAGAGTAATCAAGTAATTGAAATGATCTATGAAATTGATAAATTCGAATGTTTTAAAAATGTTAACCTTTAAAATTAACATAGGGTGCTCATAAAATTTATTAGGAAAAACTGCAAAAGAAAGAAAAAGAGGAAAACGATAGAAGAGATAGTGAACAGTTCGGCAGGTCGTAAATGAGCAATAAAAAGTAAATTATGTACGTTTATAAGGTTCAATTTCCTACTCACAAACCACTGGGATAACCTTGCTCATATTTTCTCAATCCATCATCGGATTCAAAAAATATATTTCTAAAGTTTCGATTACTTGTTTATTGATCTGTTTCGTGATCTTTGTATATAAACATACGTTTTGTTTTATTTATAGTTTGATATCATAAAAGCATTTTCTGCAGCTTCTTCAAACGCTTTTTGTTTTAAATGGAAAAAGTAGTCATAGTAGCAGCTTTCAGTAATTAATATTATTCATATATATTCTTTCGAAAGAGTTCAAATGCAGTATTTCTCTATTTTATTCTGTTCCGTAAGCAATTTTCAAAATATATTTAAATATTAACAATAAAATCGAAACGAGCGCTCTCTTAATTTTCAAGTTAGATACTGCGATATGCTAATATCACTTTTACTGAATAAAAGTTTGGCAGATAAATAAACGATAGTAAATTTATTAACAATATATTCGTATTATTCTATAAGTTAAAACAGTCTATTTGTACGCAAATATTATGTATGGTAAGTATCATATGATGAGTATTGATTTTTGGAATTTACTGATAATAGCAATCATATGTATCATCACATAATTTATAATTATTGTAGTTTGAGAAAGAACTGTGAATGCTTTTTGAAGTATTTTTTAACAAGTATAAATGCGAGAATATTTGAAAAGTTTTATTACTGTTATAAAGAATTTGCTATTATATTTAAGATTTTAAAATGATTTATTAAAACAAAAGGAAATGGCAACAAATTTAGTGACAGTATGCTCATACAAGTTGTTTTTAAATAGCTTACAAGCAAGTATTACAGTAATATAATGTTATAGAGTACTGTATGTAGAATTACAACAATATCCCACTTCATTCGCACAGAAAAATACACAGTTATAAAGTTGTAATTCATCTATCTAGGTAAGTATTAAGCTGTGTTTTTATTGTAGCATTGAATTAGTTTAGCTATACGAATGTTAAGCATTATTTTAATGTATCCTATAATAAAGGCATATGAAAAGAAGGAATTTTAAAAAAACAAACAGATAATTTCTCATTGATAATTAGTAATATGCTGATTGATAGTGATTTGATTCGGGTGAAGCATCAAAAAAAGATAGGTGACAGTTGAAACCAATCATTTTTCACTACTTCAATTTTAGGGTTAAAAAAACCAGTTCATGGCAGTGCAACAATCTATCTATCGAAATATGTTTCATGATTTTTTTCCCTTTATAAATGTGAAAACTGGAGAAAACGCAAAATTTGAATCAATTTTTAAACTTCTAAAATTAGAAATTTCATTTAATCAAAATGAAAAGTTCTCTGTAGGAAATACTAAAATAATTTGTTGAAAAGAACGAAAAAATTATGGCAAAATTTCAATTATGATAGCAAAAATTTAAACTTTCAAAAAGTTACTGATAAAATGACAATATATTTTATTCAATAAGCCAAACACGAGAATGAGGCTAAAGGAAGCGTTAGGCTTCCTGAAATAACCAATAGTAAATGCTATGGAAACCATAAGATTGTCAGAAAGCGGAAGTTTAATACGCAGAAGTTTCTGTGATTTTTATGGCGGCAAATTTCGACATTTCTATTTTTAATTCTATTTTTTTTCAACAACTTTTGTGATGTCTTATTATTTGCAGCAAAAGATTTTTGTTTTTTTGAATAGATGTAATTTAGAAAGGAAACCTCCTTAAATGACCCATTTCTAATAATCGACATAGGGGGAATATGAATAATATATGACGAGGAAAGAAACTGAAAATCATTTCCAGAAATTCATTCATTTTTATAGATCCAATAATTTTCCATGCCGTAAACATAGAATGGAAATCATTCCTTCGAATAATGTAAAACAAATAAAGTTAGAGGTTACCTGGAGTAATACTATCTAATAAGTAATATTTATTAATATTTCATCACTATGAACTTATATAGTTAAATAAATAAAATAAGGAAGTAAAGAAAAATATTTATTTAAATAAAAGAAAAAAACGGAAGAAATTGGGGATGTTCGAATCACATAAATTATCTGGAACAATCCCTGATATTATTGAGATTCCATCTCATAACTTAGTCCAATAATTCTTATAATTGCTAATTATCACGTATGGAATTCAACTTACTTACTTATTATTCAAGGCAGTTATTTCCTTAGAATGACAGCAATAATTGATATTGAATCAGATAATTTTCTTAAAATGATAGTAGCAATTGATTATTTGATTCACCGAAATTTCAGCAATTTAAACAAAAATAATTAGAGTAAGATTTTGATGGCTTACGTGCTTGATGATTCGACCCACTGCGCAGCAGCTCCAAGCATATTCTTCATATTATTCATATAATTTTGGGCAGGATACAGCAACGGATCGTAAGCTGCCGCTGCAACCGCAACTTTTTGATGGGTAGCTGCGGCACTGGCCGCCTGACTAACATGTTGAGTCCAATAAGGCTGCTGTACGGTAGGCGAATCATCGGGACTTTGCCAACTGGGATACATCGACATGAACTACCGTATAATGTAATAATCTAGCCTGTAAAATCGCTATCTATTTCGAATGGATATTATATACTTCCCTCAATGTGATCGGCTAAGATCAGAATGAAGTTCGTAAATAAATGATGGGTGAATTAAAATGGGTAATTGCATTTTTATTTCAGTAATGAATGTCTCTGTCTGTTAACAATATCACATTAAGGGAATTGGATTAAGCAACATAAAATGTCAACATTTACAACGGTAATCAATTATCTTTCATTAACTATCATTTAAATTTAAAGAGAAGAAAAAGAGAAACTTTAAAAGTTGCTCATAAACTATCTTAAAATGAGGGTTAATTTTGCTCCTTCAAAATTGTGTATTAGTTGAATTTACATGTTAGAAGAGAGGAAGGAAGAACAAGGATGAGTAGGTTATGTTATGGGTGTGATGGTATATTGATGAAGGCAACAGGAAAAACTAGAAAGCGTAAAAGTTTATGAAACAAGTGATAAATTCTTGCTCTCTTTTTTTTTATCACGTTTATCAATTATTATAATAAATCTATTTTTCCCTATGCTATCTTTTAGTTATCACTTATCAACTGCCTGCGAAAATGTTCTAAATCATCATAGCAATCATAGGATGTGCAATAATGGGGTAATTTGAAAGCAAAATAACGGGATAAACTTCAATAAGGTGAAGTAAATGGTATCATTTGTAAGGCACCTAATGATAATATAATAAGGATGATGATGATGATGATGGGGCGTGCTATTGCCTCTGTCGGGATGGTAGAGCAGGGCGGACTGCAGCATACAGGGCTGGCTGCAACTCTTGCAGGCAGCCCTACCAATACATTCGTCCTCCGCCTCCTTGTCTCCTTCGTCGTTGTCGTTGTCGTCCTCCTCGTCGTGATGATCGGTCAGAGTAGTACGAGGCCCCCTCCTCCTTTCCCTTTCTCCCTCTCCAGTTACTCCTCCTCTCATCACTCTGTACCTCCGAGCATCTTCAACTCAGTTTAATCCTCCTCTACTCCTTCATTCTTCGATCGGCAAGATCAAAGGAACTCCGCCTCTACCCCGTCAGCAACCAATGAGGAAGGAGCTCAATGGATGCGAGCATCTTTGATGTATGCCGCCAACTGGCTCCTGAACCCATAAAACAATGTCGTAAATTTTTCTTCAGAGCTGAGCTCGCCGAACTGGGATGATGAACCCTTCCTTCTTCCCATCTCCGATAAGCTGATACGTGCTTGATTTCCCAAGCAGTTCACGAATGGACGGCTCAACTTCACTTGGCTCGGCCACCCCCTTTTACAGGGAAAGTTTTCTGCTTGATTCGTCTTAAAAATTCAACTTTTCAAAGTGCGATCATTTCACTCTACCTTCTCTTCCTTTTCCTTCTTCTCTCCTGCTTACCTGTCATTTACCTTGCCATTCTTTCCAGTATACCCAAACAAACCTGATTTCTGCTTCAATCTCTCACATGGTTGCTTTTTATCACTGCAATTTATTCACTCTCTCTCTCTCCTAACATTGATATTTTCATTATCGTACCAGTATAACAAATAAATACACTATTATTTTAACTTTGAACTCTTGTCAGATTTCAAAGTTTCTTTTCAATCTCTTGTTTTTATCAAAGTAGTACTATGAAGAAAAGAAATTTAGTTCGTCTGCTTGAAAGTCTCAGCTATCAATATCCCAGTTGATCAGTAATCAGTGAAGAAATCGCCTCCTTCACTAGATAGATTAATGATCAACAGCTACTTCTGAGGAAAATGATGGTGAAATAGAAAGAAAGTACATTTCAACTTCCCTCAATGATACCATTTTATATTGCCGGTCATTGAATCAGGAAATGGCCAAATTTTGGCATCATTACCTGTCCTCTTCATTCTCTATGAATCAATGATGACTTTCTTACTTCTTTGAGCTCTTCTATCCTTTCTTACATTCCCACCATGATGACAATAACGGCGACAATCACGCCTGCTATCACAGCGCGAAACCATCCATTAAACCCGTAATAAATACTATAATCTTAAAGGGAATCCCCTAATCTGAAATGCAATAATTTACGACTTTTCCGAGCATTCCCCTCTTCATCCTTTCCTTCTAAGCCCACCGATACAAGCGATGAACATTCCGATTTAAGACAACTGCTTGATTAAAACCGATACCATCTATTTAAAAATAGAAAGATAGTCATTCCAATATTTTCATATTTGTCTTTTTTTTATCTATCGGAATATCGAAATCCTACGTACCCTTCTAATATCATACATACATATATCGATACATATAATACTATCATATTTCCATTGTTCGGGATGACTCGGATTACATTTTCTCCTCTAATTTGTCTTATCGTATCCATCGATGGGAACGGAACGTCTGTATGAACAGTAATGATGATGACTACAGTACAACAGCAACAATAATGATAAATTAACTGCAGTAATAAATAATACCAACAATGCTTTACAACATACAAAATAGTCTAGTAACTTTCAAATCCCACGGAGACTAGGCTATGACTTTCGAAAATTTTTGATTTGAAAAAATCTGACCCATCATTGTAAATTATGCATCGATAACAATATGAAAAGTATTTGATGAAAATTTGAATTTAATGAAATTAAAGATGAAAATAATTACTTTCAGACTAATACATACGAAAAAAAATCTTTCGTTTATGAAATTTCAGTGAATATTAGGACTAAGTATTATAGTTTAATAGGATTTTTAATAAAATTAAAATTTCAACAAAATTACTGATGAAATAAATTAATAAAATATAACTTAATATTTTATATAATAAGAAAAAGCTAATGTTAAAGATAATTTACTGTAGAAGAGATCTCTTTGATCAGTAATATTACTTATCCATTAAAAAGATATTTAGTATATCAGTCGAATAATAAAACTTACAGCAACCGTTTTTCATTCATAAAAATTTAATATTTTCTGATAATTTCATTCCCTAAAATGATATCATTTCTATTCAAATGTTATTTTTCCATATAATTCATATTATTTTTGCATAGTCTAAAATTAAAATTATTCAAATTACGCCAATCATAAAATTTAATAAAAACATATTATTCTAAAATATTTGTAGAAAGAATATCGAAAATAACTCTAAATGGTACATTGATATAAGGAAGGTACCATATTGGAATAAAGAAGGTACCATATTGGAACTCATCAAATCCTTCCTACCATTTAATTTCAAATTTTTCATTTTCATATAATTTCCTCTCGTATATTACCGGAAAAAAATTTCGAAAAAAAAGAATGAATAATATATTGAATATGGATTTTCCATTTATCATTCCTGATGGTTGGTGCATTTTGCCTATTCCACTAATGAGAATTCTATCATCACCGTGACACATACACCAATACTATATTTTTCCGTTCAATATATCACATCCTTTGGATTAAGAAATATCCAATTATCATTCTTACTTCTATTTGTATTAATAAATTTTACTTTTAGATAACTTTATTATCACATATTATATATGTATATCACATATATCGTCTCTTCTTATTATCTTCAATGCATCAAAACAATAAGGTAATTGTTTTTTCATTTTGAAACTTGCGTTTCATTTTTTTTTCTATAAATCGGTTTATTAGTAAATTGAGTTATATTAAATTTAATATACATTAAATGTAAATTTACAAAATATATGAAATATCAAGCAGAATTCGATTATGATAATGATAATGGAATAATCATTAGAACAGTAAGTGATAAGAGTTGAATGAGGAAAGATGTAAATTAGTAGCTTTATGTTTTATCAATAACAAATCTCATAGGCTAAAAAGTTAGTAATTTGTTTATTTACTATATAATATTGGTTAATGAGAATAAACAAATAAGCATAAACATTTTCATTTCTATTGGTATATCGTAATTTCAAAACTATTCAAAAGATCAGCAATAAAATAATGCTACGAGAGAGGTATTTATGGCTATTAACTGCGAAATTATAAATTTAAAGAAGTGGATATGGTAATTTTGTTAAAATTAAAAATTAATAATAATAAATAAACAAAACAGACAAAAAAAAGTTTATCATTATCGGATGAAATAAAAGTGAAAAAATGTTTTGGTTAAATTGAGTTTGGACAGGTGAGATGAGAAATGAATTATAAGAGATCAAATGTTATTTATCATGAAAAGATAAGAATGAGCTCATCAATAATAAGAATATTGGGTATATTTTATATCTCTTATTCAGTGAATTAATTTTGTAAATTATTTCAGAAAAGGTATAATGAAATTAATTATCGAAAAAAATTAAGCATTTTAAAGAATGATAAGAAATTAAACTAAAAGAATAGGCTAAATGAAAGGAAAATGTATTCGAAGGAATGCAGAAGGATAAGTAATTTTTTTCAAAAGTTTATTTACCTTGTCAATATGCTACAGGTTGATTTTAACTTAGAATGCATGCAACAATGATGATGAATCGATTTTCAACTTTAACCTTCAAAGTTGATATTTGTGATATTGAATGAATCATAATAATAATATAGAATTTGAAAAAGGAACGATGAAATAATATTTTCAATACCTTATTAGTAAAGTGAGAAGAAACTTTTTTGCTAATATGGTTTGCTAGTGAAAATATAATTACTGTAGCAAAAGTTCCATATCAAAAGATTTCCGTCGCTTAAATGCATCATCTGCAATTGGCTGAATGACTGACTACATCCGGAAATGATCATCTATTAATTCAAACTATCAAATCTGTTCCTGTCCAGTTTGTTTCGTTATTTAGATTTCGGAATAGCCTTCGAATAATCAATTACAGGAAAAAAAACCGGAAATATTCAATTCTGCATCGAAAAATCAACAGTCATAAATATTTTATGGATGTTAGAACACGCTTAAATGCTTCCAGCAACCTTCTTTGATGCTTTTTTAAAAAAGAATTATCAGCCTTATTTCATAGCAATTTAATTCATCTATTCTAACAAAACAAAAGCTTCATTTTCTGATTTTGTAAAGGGAAACTCTTTTTTTTCAAAATTTAAAAAATAAATAAATAAACATTGGGCGTGATAATTAATTCACATAATATCGATTGAAAAAAAAAAGATAATTATCACCGGTTTAAAGCGGAAAAAAAACCGAACTCATTTTAACTATGATCTGTTGTGAAAAAACTAAAAGATACATAAATTTCATTTATGACAGATAACAAGAAATCATTGCTATTAATTTCTTTTAAATTTTATCACTTAGTTTTTTTATATCAAAACAATTTACAAAAATATTCGCAAAATAAACTTCCGGTTGTGTATCATTTATAAAATTATCACAGTTTAATTTACAACCGTTGTAGTTGCTACTACTACTACTACTACTACTACTACTACTACTACTACTACTACTACTACTACTACTACTACTACTACTACTACTACTACTACTACTACTACTACTACTACTACTACTACTACTACTACTACTACT